AAACATGGAAGGTGTTTATTTAGCAATGTTTTAGTAGAAAAATAGATTTTAGAAGTATGCGGCAGAAGTAGTTTTAGGATCAAATATGACTTATGCTAACGGGGTGTATGTTTGATACTCAAAATGTGAAATGTAGTTGAGTATATTGTAAATATGACAGCTTTTCTTTGATTCTGAGAATTGTTAAATCGCAGTTATTATTAAAGACTTGAGGAATGTAGAAAAAAGGTTTTGATCAACTGTCAATTTCAATAATCAATTAATTGCCATATTTAAGCAGAAATGTTGGGACCGGATCTCTAAATGTGAGGATTTGATAAGCCTTTATTGATACCTTGAGGGTGGATTCACAATGTATCATCGTAAATGAACAAGACAGTTGGCTGAAGACATTACCTTGGACTCTGGGAAGAGCTTGGCTTAGGGTTGCCACTGTTTTTGTGTACTGTTTTCTGAATTTGGGACACTTAATGTAACAATGCCATTTGTTTGTAATCAGCAACAGATATTGGATAATGAAAAGTATTCCTTACTTCTGAAATCAGCATATGCACACTTTATATTTCAGACCTGTTTTGACCCCACATGGAGGTAGCTGTCTTTGTTTTTAAAACGTCAGCTCCTAAGAGTTGACATTGTGTCCTTTCTCACACTCCACAACTGGTTCAAAGCTGCTTCCTCCCTCCGTCACAAAGCCTCATTACGGAGCCGGAGAAGTTCAGCTCTGGATTGGTACGTCTGGCCTTATCTTATCAGCCTCTGAGCTTGTGTATACAATCAGGAGCGGCTCCCTCTCCTGCTGCTGCTGCTTCTCTGATGGAAAACACTGGGTTTCCTCTGGGTTTAAAGATAGATCTCTCCAGGGCCCTGCTTCCTGCTGCGCTATTAGATTATTGCTGCGTCCACAACTAATGCAGACACAGCTAGCAAGTCCACAGGCTTTCATGTGACATGGGTTAAGTTATAGGAAGAAGTGCTTATTTAGCAAAAACAGATGTAACCGCTGTCGAGATTCAGTCGGGAGTTAAAGAGGACAGGTTCATATCAGTAGTGTCTCTACTTTAAAGAGTCCTCTCCTGCTGATGTTCAGGTGTATATCAGTATGTAGTGTCTCTACTTTAAAGAGTCCTCTCCTGCTGATGTTCAGGTGTATATCAGTATGTAGTGTCTCTACTTTAAAGAGTCCTCTCCTGCTGATGTTCAGGTGTATATCAGTATGTAGTGTCTCTACTTTAAAGAGTCCTCTCCTGCTGATGTCCAGGTGTATATCAGTATGTAGTGTCTCTACTTTAAAGAGTCCTCTCCTGCTGATGTTCAGGTGTATATCAGTATGTAGTGTCTCTACTTTAAAGAGTCCTCTCCTGCTGATGTCCAGGTGTATATCAGTATGTAGTGTCTCTACTTTAAAGAGTCCTCTCCTGCTGATGTTCAGGTGTATATCAGTATGTAGTGTCTCTACTTTAAAGAGTCCTCTCCTGCTGATGTCCAGGTGTATATCAGTATGTAGTGTCTCTACTTTAAAGAGTCCTCTCCTGCTGATGTCCAGGTGTATATCAGTATGTAGTGTCTCTACTTTAAAGAGTCCTCTCCTGCTGATGTTCAGGTGTATATCAGTATGTAGTGTCTCTACTTTAAAGAGTCCTCTCCTGCTGATGTTCAGGTGTATATCAGTATGTAGTGTCTCTACTTTAAAGAGTCCTCTCCTGCTGATGTTCAGGTGTATATCAGTATGTAGTGTCTCTACTTTAAAGAGTCCTCTCCTGCTGATGTTCAGGTGTATATCAGTATGTAGTGTCTCTACTTTAAAGAGTCCTCTCCTGCTGATGTTCAGGTGTATATCAGTATGTAGTGTCTCTACTTTAAAGAGTCCTCTCCTGCTGATGTTCAGGTGTATATCAGTATGTAGTGTCTCTACTTTAAAGAGTCCTCTCCTGCTGATGTTCAGGTGTATATCAGTATGTAGTGTCTCTACTTTAAAGAGTCCTCTCCTGCTGATGTTCAGGTGTATATCAGTATGTAGTGTCTCTACATGTCTCCATGCTTTAATGTTCAAAAAGCTCTTTATTTTTCTCATACTGCCTGTGCTGCAGCACCTCTTTTCACCCTCTGTCTGAAACCAGAGCCCAGTCTGTTCTGATTGGTTAGCTGGCTGGTTCTGCTGTGATTGGTCAACCGTTTAGAGATGTCCCGCCCCTTAGCCTATCACGAACAATGTGTTGGAGCGCTAGCAAATAGAAGTGCGAGTGTTACACAGTGATGTCACTATGTTCAGAAGTAAAAAAAGGATTCCATTGGAGGCGTGTTCAGGCAGGGAAGGGAGCGTGTGGGAGAGCATTTTCCTCTGGACAGAACACAGGGATTTCAGCATTGCAGACCCTTTACATGCACACAATGGAAACTGAAAGATATAAAAAGCGTAATAGGGCCCCTCTAAAGCCACATTAGCAGCCTCGTTTTTAGTACTTAAACATGTTGTTTATAAAAAAAATTGTACCTCCAATGGTGGAGCCTTCCTACAGTATGTTTAAGACATATTGTTTCATTATGCACACCATGCAATTTTTCTGTATGAAGCATTTAAGTTTTTAGCCCGCTGAGTGCTCGGTGAAGTCGCCCACCTCGTCACGGCGGCTGTCCCATTCTCTTTCCCTCCGCCATTAAAAAGCGTCCCGGAGAAAAGAGAGCAGTGTGATAATTGGTAGTTGTAAAGCTCTGATAATTGGCAAGGCTGTAATTACGGGGCTGCGAGATAGGTAGTCCCCCCGCTGTAGAGGAACCACGTTGCCAGTTACTCACAAGATAATGGCCTACAGAGTGTGTGTGTGTGTGTGTGTGTGTGTGTGTGTGTGTGTGTGTGTGTGTGTGTGTGTGTGTGTGTGTGTGTGTGTGTGTGTGTGTGTGTGTGTGTGTGTGTGTGTGTGTGTGTGTGTGTGTGTGTGTGTGTGTGTGTGTGTGTGTGTGTGTGTGTGTGTGTGTGTGTGTGTGTGTGTGTGTGTGTGTGTGTGTGTGTGTGTGTGTGTGTGTGTGTGTGTGTGTGTGTGTGTTGTGTTGTGTGTGTGTGTGGCCTAGCATTACTATACTTGTGGGGACCTAAATCTGTTTACACAGTCATGTGTGGGGACTCGCCTCCCTTATGGGGACAAAATGGAGGTCCCCATAAGGGGAATCATTAATTTTAGGGTGAATACTTGGTTAGGTTTAGGGTAAGGGTTAGGCATGTGTTGGTTATGATTAAGGTTAGGATAAGTCTCCAGGAAATGCATGTAAGTCAATGTAATGTCCCCTGAAGTGATGTATGCATGGTATGTGTGTGTGTGTGTGTTGTTCTGTATGTCAGACAGAGAGGTGTCAAAAGGTGTGTTTATGTAAGAGAAAATCACGCTAGCTTTACATTAGCAGCACTCTGTATACAAGTCGCTTCCTATTATTAGGTGATGTGGAGAAAAGAGACTATTATATATTGGGCCCCCCTCTCTTCTGTTATTCATAGTTAAAAGGGAACATGACAAAGTGGAAACTAGTAAGGTGGCATTTTGAATTCCCCACGGAGCAGATTTAACCATGATTCATAACTGATTTGTATTTCCAGACGTACCGTTCCTGCACAGTACTAAATATACAGTTATGCTCTGCCTGTGTCATGTGACACGTTGTGCTTTATGTCATCATTTTATATGCTCGGATGTTTTAAGATGAATGATGGAAGCTTGTCAATTACACTGTTAACAGGAAGTATTCTGCACTCAATGTGGATTGAGATGCGATCATCATTGTGATTTTGAGCGATAAGGCTTTGTTAAATATTATTCAGTTTCTATGATTAACTGTCATTTCAATAGAGAAGCCATTTATTGATAAATAACAAGATGTTAATGGTCAGTAATCCAAGCACATCCAAAAACTCCTTCACATTGCTAACATTAGCTACAGTACATATTGTCATGTTTGAATGTGCTTCAGTCACTTTGCTCCAGTAATAGAGGCTTTATTCATCACATTAAACCTTTTCTGCTCAGTAAATATTCTGCAAAGTTAAAATACAACACTATTACAATATTTACAATGAAGGGACGTAAGCATATTCTTCTGCCACTCTTTCTCTGGTCAGTACATATTATGGAGGGAAGTGTTACCTTAAAGCAAAGGTAATTTGCTACCAATTGAGCTTGTTCCATTTTACACTTCATGACAGAATACCTGATGTATGTTGCTCTATGTGATTTTTAAATGCACAAACGATGGATGTGTTTTTCCGTGGACCCTAGGAAGAATGGTTACTACCCTTGAAGCCAAGAAGGAATTTAGATTTAGCCATAAACGTGCAAATAGAAGGAAAAAAGCTCTGTCATTATAACAAGTAATAGTGCTTCTGTCTCTTGGCTGATTTCAATTAATGACGCATTTTCTGCTCAAGACATTTTCTCAAAAATGTATTAACAACACTGGTATAATATTTACAATGAAGGGACTCTGGAGTATTCTTCTCCCAGTCTTTCCAGGGTCACTTTCTTTTATCAGCTAAAAGCAAATGTCATGTTCTACTGCTTCAGATTTCTTGGTATGCATGGTGCATGAATGCAAGAAAGCTGAATGTTTTAACGTGTGTACCCCGGGTAGAATTGTTGCTATCGTCTCCAATCTAACAAATAACGGTACATGTGGCATGACAGTTTCCATTAAACAATACTTTATGGCTACATACAGAAGACAACACAGCACCAAAACTGCATGGATGTTTTTTTACGTGTGTACCCCCGGAAGAATGGTTGCTAACCTCGTAGTAACTAATGAGGATCCAATCTAACAAATAACGGTAAATGTGGCATGACAGTTACACGTTAAAGATACATACAGAAGACAACACAGCACCAAAACTGCATGGATGTTTTTTATCACCCAGAATCAGCCCAGAGCTGCACAGCATGGCACGTTTTTTCTGACCCACCGTTTGTAAATAGAGACAGAAAACCTACAGTGTCTGTCACAATCTGCACCATCAGGATCCAGGCTAAGACCCGGGAGCTGAGGGAGCGCCAGGCCCGGGAGCGGGACTACGCCGAGGTCCTGGACGTCAGCCGGGTGGAGGAGGAGGAGGAGGACCACGCGTACGCTGGGGTCAACGCTCTGAACTGCTCCATGGACAGCGGGCACAGCCGGCCCCACAGCCCCCGGGACGATTACATCCAACACCAGAACATCCACCCCAACCAACACCACCAGAACAACCACCCACACCACCAGAACCAGCACTCTGACTCCCTCTACACCCAAGTGAAGGCCCGCAACGAGCGCCCCCCGTCTGCAGACAGGTAGGCCTGGATTCATGCTTTCGGAGATAAAAAAAGATGGGAGTCATTCACTGGAACCAGATTTATGTATTAAGTCTTTTTTATTTAAGTTAATTCTTTAAGCGGTCACACTAATGAATTTTATCGGACGAAGATGCATCATTTATGATACGATTCACAAAATAAAACTACCGTATTTTCCGGACTATAAGTCGCACCTGTGTATTACTTGCTCTTATTAAAAAATGTATCGTTAAATCCAGCTCGAAACCAGCTCGAGTGGCTAGAATTTGAAAATACACAGCCAGAACAAATCTGCCACTTCCTTACAGAGCCTCTCCTCCAACACACACGAACGCGCACATGACCAATGAGGGCACGAGATAAGTTTGTGTCTAGATGGAAGGCTGACAGGCAGGTAGGCCATCCAGTTACTTTAGCCGGGCCGGCTCAGGTGATTGGTCGTGCTTTTTACAGCGCCACGGCTTCCACAGATGACTTTGTTTATGGATTTTTTGTCAAAGCACTTAAGATATTCATTGCTATCGGGATGTTGAGAGCATTCCATGGAATATAACAAAAAGTGTATCTCGAGCCGGTTTCTCAAACTTACCTACCCCACCTTTAAGAGAAAGAAAACATAAGTCGCTTCGGTGCTTAAGTCGCATTTATCCACTGAAGTCTTCATCCTCTGTGTCGCTGTTAAACACTTCCCCCAACTCCGGTGGAAGATGAAGCAGCCTGTCCGGTTGCCGTGATTTTTTATTTTTTATTTTTAGGATCTGATTTTTAAAGAGGATATGTATGTAAGGAGTATACGTTTCGTGAAGTCTGTAGAGTATGATTTGTAGACCAGGATATATCTGCAGCGCTCCACAATATTTAATTCAAAATGGTATTATAACACTTTTCGACCCTACAACAAGCTTGATGCGAGTTGAAGAGTGCACTAGTCCATATTGCGATTGCGATAAACCTTCGATTAATTGTGCAGCCCTTCAGTTGGAGTCAGAAGACATTCAGGAAGTCGAGTGTGATTCATGCATGGATGTATAATAAGAACTGGATACAGCGTGGGAGGCGGGGTCTCGTTCTTTCCTACAGTATGAGAGCTGCTCATTGGCGCATGAGGACAAAATGGCCCAACTTTTGAGAGAGCGAAACGTCACAGATTACCCAGCATGCCTGGCTGTATGAGCAGAAGAACCTGTATGTGCGCTCACAGAGCATGCGCCCCTTAAGCCCCGCCCCCGAGCTCCCACTCTCGGCTCAATAGAATGAATGGAGACAGAAAATAAATATAGATTCGGCTTTTAGTGCATTTTACAACTTTAAGGACCAAATGATTCTAATAAGGGCTATCAAATAGTTCATACTGGGTAGTTTATTTAGTTTAAAACAAATTATCCGCTGATTTACAGACATCTCTTTCCCCATGTTAGTCAATGGGGGAAAGTGTTTCTGGGCCCAGGGACGTCATGGACTGATACGGAAGTTGTAGTACCGCCGTTTGGACACAACGAATATTTTCATCAGAGTCCTGCGCACTTCCCGGGGGCTTGGATTCATGGTGCTGCAACCTTTTTACCTCCAGTTCTAAAGCCCGCCCCCTCCATGTTGTGTTTTTATTATTGAAGAAATAATTATTTAGGCGGTAACACTAATACATTTTATCGGATGAAGCTGCATAATATATGATATGATTCACAATATTTAAGAGATTGGTTTTTTTCGCATCATTAATCTCATCATGTGATTGATACAATAATACATGATTGTTGGAACGGACAATTATGTTAAAGCCTCTTGGACGTACATTTGATCTGGGATTGACTTTGTATTTCATTTTTAGGATCATGGTCTGATTTTTAAAGAGGATATGTACCCAAGGAATATACGTTTTGTAGAATATGATTTGTAGACCAGGATATATCTGCAGCTCCACAATACTTCATTCAATATGTTATTATAACACGTATCTACCCTACAACAATTGATGTGCTTTTACGAGTTGAAGAGTTCACGAGTCCATATTGCGATAAACCTTGGAGTAATTGTGCTGTCGGAGTCAGAAGACATTCAGGAAGTCGAATGTCATTCATGGTCCAGCAACCTTTTTACCTCCAGTTCAAAACCCCGCCCCTCCATGTTGTGTCACTTAAAGGTCCGTTCAGCCCGATTCTGCCTCCACATCCTCGTAACTCTGAGGCAGCATTACTGCGCCGGCTGGCTATTACACCTGGAGGAGCAAATAATCAGAGCAACAGGAGGCAGGCGGTAAATGTCAGCTCGACACAATGCACCGCTCTCTCTCTCTCTCTCTCTCTCTCTGGGATTACTCTGGGGAGGCAGTGAGTGAACGGGAACCTTTGAATACCCGTCTCTCTTTCTGTCTCCCCTGACCTTTCTACCTCTCTTTCTTCCCGACTTGTTGACTTCACCTTTTTCCTCAGCATTCTGCCTCAGCCACCAACATCTCACACCTTCATGATTGACGCTTTATTTTTTAAAAGATCACCCTCGCCAGGCATGGAAATCCCTTGTTCTGTGTGCAATTGCTTTGTATTTACACTCAGCAGTCGAGTGGTATTACGAATCTTCCAGTGTTGGAAAGTAATTTAAGACATTACCTTAAATACTGCACTTGAGGTACTTTTACTTTCCATGTTATGCTTCTTTATACTTCTACTCCACTGCAATTTGAATGCAAATAATGTACTTTTTTTCTTTTACAATTATGTACAACTTCAGTTGCTAGTCATTTGAAGATACACATAATAATAATACAACATACAAATCAATCTATTATGATGTATTGTTATGGATTAATAAACCTAGAAGTACTCAAATTCATTAACCCTTGTGTTGTGTTCAAAAGCTGTTACCGTTCATGGTGTTCGCGGGTACATTTTGACCCATGATTTATCTCAGTCCAAAACATAAAAAAATAACTATGATCCAATATTGTTTTAACTCCATCATAACTAACTTATAATGCATTCATAACCGTACAATCCTGTTGTAATTTAATGTTATGGCCCAAAACACATTACACCACATATTCCACATGTCCATATATGTGTTCAAGTGTTAGTGTACAAATTATTTGAGAAAGGTCGAGTTCCCGTGGGGGGAGGGGAGACCAGGTGCATGATTGTTACAGTGTATGAAGGGGGTGGGGGAGGGGCGTCTAAAGTCAAAGATGAATCTTGATTGGGCCAAATTTGACCTCGAGTCACCCAAAACTTTGTTTTTAAATCTGGGCAAAGAGTATTTATAATAACTGAGATAAAAGTGAGACTTCAGAAGAAAAAAAATCTTAATTCTGAAAAAAGTCTAAATTCTTTAATTAAAGTCAGAATTCTAACTATGAATTTCATACCAAAACAGACCATATTCTTCTGTATAACACTAATTATAATCCAGAGAAATAAAACTATAGATATTATTCTGAAAACAACCCATTCTGCATAATGAGTACTTTTAGTTTTGATACTTGTGATGCTCATACTGTATTTCTATACTTTTACTGAAGTTAAAACAATGAAAGCATGAGTTATACTTGCAGCAGAGTATTGCTACATTGTGGTATTACTATTGATATTCAAGTATTTAGGACATAAGCACTTTTTCTTCCTCTGGAAACTTGTAATCCCAAGCAGAGTCCACTGCAGTGATAACCAGCTGATCAAAGATATTCTGAACGCCTGCATCTTTTCAGCCGCTCTCAGCACTGCAGGTGTGTTTCTCTCTAATCCTCCTTTCCGATCAATGCTCGGAGAGATTCGCAGGCCTAACATGGATTTGGGGAAACTTGAAGCCGATGGAGGAAAGCCTGCAGCGAAGCAGAAACACAGGAGAGCATCCAGAGCAGAATGAATGAGTGTTATTTGTCTTAGTTTCCCCAGATGGCTCCAGTACCTCCGCAGTGCAGCTCCTATTGATTCATAATGCATTGTGTCACATTATGTTATTCTGTCTCTATTAAATCCCTGATGTGGTCCAGTGTGGAAGTGTCTGCAGATGCACAACAGAAGATAATATACTGGCATTACAGATAGGGAGTCTTATTTAATTAGGTGAGGGAATTCAATCATCATTTATAATAAAGTTAATAGCTCACTAATTCACCATACTGTATAAGCAGTTTTATTTCCCTTCAGTACTCAAGAGAATTTTATACCAATTTGGGTTTATTAAGTTTTGCAAGAAAGCCCACAGCGACAACAGCAACCAGACGTTGCAAAAAATGTTAATACACCAAAAAGTAGGTAAAGTAGGGACACATACTAACATTTCCAGTTGAGAGCAGTGCATCTTTTATCATTGTTTGTGAGGTTATACATTTTACTTTGGGATTCTAGAAATGGCATATTGACTATATATTTACAGGTAAATGATGAATCAGTCTGAATAATAGGAAATACATTAGTGAAGAAGATTGAGCAGCTCTAAAAGGATAACATGACCACACAACTGAAATAGTTTATTACGCTTTATGCACTCTAGGCTTTGTGTTCCTCTTGAGACGTACAGTAACTCTTTATGGCATCTTGTCTCACCACTGAGACATTCAGCTGTGGTTATAGCAATTCATCAGGTCTCACTTTAGTTCGACTCTGGTGGGCTTGTGGGTGTTCAAATACTTTCCTACTTACACTAATAAAGTTGTACATGGGATTATGGACACAGATGTGATACTTAAATGCAGAGGTTGGGAAGTAGTGGAGTACAAATACTTAAGTACATTCTTCTGGTATCAGTACTTTACTCCACTACTTCTTTTTCTGACGACTTTTTACTTTGACTTCTTACATGTTGAACACAAATACCTGAACTTTCTACTTCTTACATGTTGAACTCAAATACCTGTACTTTCTACTTCTTACATGTTGAACACAAATACCTGTACTTTCTACTTCTTACATGTTGAACTCAAATACCTGTACTTTCTACTTCTTACATGTTGAACCCAAATACCTGTACTTTCTACTTCTTACATGTTGAACTCAAATACCTGT